TTTTTTTTTTTTTTTTTTTTGTGGTGGAGATGTATTCGATTGTACAGACATACCATGATTTATTTATCCATCACCTTTTTGTGTACATTTGCCTGTTTCCATTTTGAGGGAATTATGTCAGGCTGCCACAGGTATTTTTGTTCATGTATTTATATGCACATATTTTCTTGTTTCTCTTGAGTAAACCTGCCCTATGAATCAAAGACTTGAATGGTGGGATCATATCATAGGTGTGTCACATTTAAAATATATATATATATCTTCTACAAAGTGACAATTCTACTTTTTCTAATTCCCAGCACCTTAAGTATAGCTATTCTAATGGATGTGTAGTGATAGCTCCTAGTCCTTTAGATGTTTTTACTTCCCTAATGACTACTGGTGTTGAATATCTGGTCATATGCTTGTCACTTACATGTCTCCTTTGGTAGAATGTGCAAAGTTTTTGTACACTGCAAATTTTGTGGCTTGGTATCTTACTGAATTTTGAAAAATCCTCATGTGTTCTGAATCTAAATTCTTCAGCACTTTCATAATGTGTAGATTTTTTCTTTCATCTATGGTTTGTCCTTTCATTGTCTTAATAGTGTCTTTCAAAGAACAGAGGTTTTTAAATTTCATGAAGTTCAATTTATCAGTTTGTTCGGTTATAGATAATGCTTTGTGTTGTTTCCTAAGAAAAGTTTGCCTTTCTAAAGGTCACAAAGAAGGTCACAAAGGTTTTTTTTTTTTTTATTACAGTCTACACATTTAATATTTGTAAGTGGTACAAGATATGGAACAAAAGATTTTATTGTCTCTTAATATCCAGTAATTTGGATTTTTTTTTTTTTGATGAGATGAACTCCCCCCCCTCCCCCAAGTTGTCCTTGTAGAATTGTGGAAAACCAATTATCCATCCATGTTTCTAGGAAGTCAAAGCTTTGCTGTTTCACTGCTTTCTTTTCTGTCATTAATTCCACTCTGTTGATTACTTTAACTTTAAAATAGGTCTGGAAATTGTTTCATTAGTTCTCTGACTCCATTCTTTATATTTTTACATCATTTTGTACATTTTTTTCCGTCTCAGTTGTAATCCCCGTGGGTGTCCCATCACCAAGTCACCTGTGTGCCATCGCCATAATCCCGTGCACTTCCCCCCCCCCCCCCC